TTGAATGTACATATCTGATAGCAGAAGAAAATAACGTGGAAGTTGATATTCTGATACCGTTTCAAGAATTCATGACTCAAGTTGTTTTTCTCTAAAAAAAAAATATTTATTTCCTTTTGGAAAATAATTCTATAAAAATAATGTATATTTTAAAGCAGAAACTTTTAAGAGTTGTTACTTATTTAAAAAAAAACATTTTAATTTTTTATTCAATTTTCTTATTAATTTAAATATTTAATATCAATTTCTCACTTTGTTAAGAGTTTTATCATTTTCACTAAAAATAATATCGTTAATTTTAACAAAGATTAATAATAAATATTCTTACTATAAAAATCAGTAAAATTACTATATTACTATATTCGTGCATTTTTTAAAGAAAGATTTTGATATTTTCCAAGAAAGTATTATCACTTAATTTGAGTGAAGAATAAAGTGCTACTAAATTTTATTTAATCACAGGTATTCCGCAAAGAACTAATTTACTGAAAATAAATTTACTAAGGTAGAGTTTCACTGTTTGCTTTAGTAACACTTTATTTTTCTCCAGGGATATATTGATTTATGAGAGGCGCCATAAAAAGGAGCTACAACTCGACTATTATAAATCGTGAGATTCAGTCGGAGTTAATTAATATCGACGTAGATCCGAAAACACTAATCCGTTCTTAAATGCCAGCAGTACGCTACAGGACTCACCGATACTACTTCGATTAATCGCTAATTACGGCGATCATCTTCACGAAAACGAATCGAGATTCTGACATGGCTACGACTTAATAACAGGAACCGATCGTAGAATTTCAGACGGTGGCTGACGGTGGTTATTAACTATCGAGAGGTTATCCGATCGACCCAATACGTAGCGGCTAACTTGGATTCAACAACATTCTTATCCATCGATCAAATTCTGCGCTTCGCGCAAACCAAGTTCCCATAAATCACCGGCTGAGATTTTCACTGGGATTTGCAATGAGAGCATTAAAAAAACGTAATCGATCTTGAAATTAATAAATTTGCATATAGCTTTTACATATTTGAAAAATATTATAGCAATATCTGTCGGTGATTAACTAATATAATTTGTCAAAAAGTGATTATTCTGTGAAGCATTAGAAAGTGGGGGCGATATTTCATATAAAGATAGCGATATGCATGAAAAATTTTATGTTCTAATAAATGGAAAGAAACAGAATTAATAAGAAACGTCCTAAAAAAAAAAGAAATAAGTTTAAAATTAAAAAAAGTATGCTAGGTTTTTTTTTCATTAAATCACTCACTACTTCATTTCCGGTAAAGAGACGAAGATTCCGGTAACAAACATGCTGAAGAATACACAGGACTAAAAACTGAATCATGATAGAAAGAAACGAGCATTCTCTTGATGATTTGTCCGGAAGCAATATCTCGCTCGTATCTTGCGTTTCAATCAGCGTCAGTTTGTTTAACGCGAAATTGCATCAACAAGAACTTATTTCGAGTGGATTTCTTTAACTATAGTAGCTTTTCTCTAGTTTACCAATTTCTTTTATAATATTTTTGTTATTGTAATAACATTATTATGTCGTAATATCTTAATATCGAGAATAAATATTAAATAGTACTTATTTCTCAATCTCGTATCTATCCTATGTATTTAATTATTTCATATTTATTATTTCATTCACAGTTATTATTCACTGTTAAATATCAAAGGAGCAATGGTAACCCAATCCGTTGAGTTAAATAACATTTTGCTATTTTTCAAATTGCATGTGTCAAAATGTAAATAAATCCATTTCTGTGGTTAGTTTCAATTAAAGTAAACAATATCTATATTAACGTATATATTCAATAATAAATTTTAATCAAATTTAATATATATATTTTCTTAAATAAAAATTTTAACTCTGTTGTTTTAGTTAAATTAACGACATATTGAGTAAAAGCAATGACTATAGAAATTAAAAATAACTCAAATTATGATTTGACATTATAAACTTAACAGTGTATAATTGTCCTTTTTAATTTGAATCTTTTTATGGTGTTCATTTTTAATCGCAAGATATATCCGTGTTAATTATACGCTTGCTATTTTAAATTGAAACAGATCCTATTTTTCACACCGCCGCCGCCGGTTAATCGATTAAAGCGTAGCGCTAATTTGTAAGAGGATATAAATTATGACAGCGGAGTTAAGCTGTACACGGCGACGCATCAGCATTCAAGAAAGAAAAAAAAGGAGGACAAAGCACGCGCCGAGGTAGCAGGGAGAAAAAAGTCACGGTAATGAGTGTCATCGCGAGAGAAAAATAAGGCACGCTCCTCCTGGTTCGACACACGGAATTATTAGGTCGAGAGAATCCACAAGAGAACGAATGCACAGAGATGGATTAATCGCGAGCCTCCCCCATTTGATTCCACCCTTGGCATTCACCGTCCTCCCTTACGCTTTCAATTATTCTGTTATGTTTTCAAGCTGTCGCAAAGAACGCGGGTGGCGTGCTCGAATAAAGGAAAGTTACGGCACGATTTTAACCGGAGAAGCTCCCCTGAGCTTCTCAAGAATTCAATACAAACGATTGATGCATGGGGTGAAACTGTCGGGACAATAATACCAACGTAGATAAATTCTTTTCAATTACAGTTATCAAAATATGGCTGACTTTTAAGAAGACAGTTTAGCATATATATATATATATATAAACAGATGAGATAAGCGGGAAAAATTAGAATTCTAACTTTTTAGTGAAAACTTAAAAATAAGTTGGAGTAAAGCCTGATTGAGACGTTAAGTGAACATTATAAGAAAAGATACTTCAGCTGATGCTGAAAAGATCAAGAATTCTTGAAATATTCTTATAATTACGTTATTGCAATCTTTAAACGTAATTATGCTTTTCAAGAGAATATCTTCATATAATTTATTACTCTCACAGCCAATAAGAGATTTCTTTGCGTTTTTTGTGTTTATAAACTGACTTTAGAAAGAAGTTGGAAAGAAATTATACGTTCAAGCTGGAAATTTAATTTGCATAATAAAAAAGCATTTATATTCTTGTCTTAAAACTTAAAAAAAAATTTGAGATGTTATTTTTACTTGGAATACAAAATTCTAGTTCTTATAAATATTAACTTTTGTCCTATTTCATCAATTTTTATATAATAATGTATGAACTTTATAATGTTTATTAAATTTTATCGCTTGTTATTTTGATACATTGATAGATTAACGGATTGGTCAGTTGCACTCCTATCACGATTCTCTTTTGTACCAAAATAATACACAAATTCAATCTTTTCTTTAATCGAAATTCTATGACAGATTTATATCAAATCCTATTCACAAAGAAAATTTAACAAGCCATAAAAATGTTTAAATGCATAAAAATAGAGCTTAAATAAAATTTAAATAACAGAATTTAAATAAAAATAGAAAAACTTAGCTTAAATAATGTATGTCTTATACTAAAAACTAGATAATCATATAAATTTAATTACTTTAACTACTTTACTTTAATTGGTTTTTAATTACAACAAAAAATTATTATAAATATTTGAATTAAATTATTTCACTTATGTGCAAAGTTGTGTACATTTTATGTTTTTATTTCCAGATTGAACATTCCTTGTGAACATGATTCAACGACATTGTCACAAAAGTTCTATGTAAAAATTGAAATTTCAAATTTTTCGAATTATGGACTACCGAATTTATCTCTTATCGTTAGGTTGAATTATAGCAACGCTATGCGAAGCAGATCGAGAACGACGAGAGAAGTCGAGGACCGTCGTCCGATAACGAAGACGACCCCCTCGAGCCGCCTTCTTTTCTCCAGCCGGATGAATAAACTCGAGACTAATTACCGCGATAAGTACAGAAGAACCCCGGCACGCTCCGTCGTGTGTTTCACGATGAGGCTCCGTAATATTAACGAGTGGTGGCTGCGCGCCACGCTCAATGCTTCAATCGGAGGAATGTCTGAAATATCTACTCGCAGTTACCGGCGAAATAATATATATTCATGCCGCACTTGTACGTCGGTTGAGCGGGACGCAACGTTTATTATTTCGCAGCAATGCGTAATTAAAGTAGAATAGATGGCATTCAAGCAATGCGGATTCTGGCGAGATGAATATAATTAATATAAGAAACGCTGCAATTTAGCCGAGCAATCATTGCACGTTTAATCAATTTGTATGAACATGTTTACTTATTCTTAGACACTTCTCTAAGCAGTCATTAATTGCATAAGCAAACCTATGTACCATTATGCGAAATTGAGTTTCTATTTGCACGAGAAAAGATTAATTCAAAGCAATCACTTTAAGGAATAAATAAACGATATATCTCTCTTTTAGAAATTTACAGGAAAATTTTTAGAAATGTCGATTTTTTTAATTCAGTTTATTAAAGTTTCTCTTGCTAATATCTCACCCCTGTGTACACTTCGTGAATAAAAAAAAAAGACTATGTGTTACTTTTACTAAAAGCGAATTCCATATATTCTACATAAGTTACACGCGTTTTAAATCAAATTATCTCAAATATATTCTCTATATTTCGCATAGAGAGCCATGTATAACTCAAATATAAATATCGTAGACTGTATTATCTTTGTAACAATATTTTCTCGATATGCCCGAAAATATGATACGCACGAATAACGTAAACTACTGACCTCCTTCTTTAAGGAGAAGGTGAAAATATATATTTTAACGTTGTTACTTCCACACGCAACGCAAATTAAATGATAATGAAGTAGATACCCTTCATTTTTCTCTTTCAGCAAAATAATTGCGGCCGCATTGAACTTCAATCGCAATTATGGCGTTTTAATGACAATAATATCGGCATTAACGGCGCGACTAAAAAGGACGAAAAGAAAAGAAAAGGAAAGAAATCTTGCGCGTGTGCGAGCGAGAGATAAGGAGAAATTAAAGGAAATGGTAGTCGTAAAATAATAGCGCACCTCTCGGTTGTCGCTCGCTGACTGAAATTGCCGTGTTACCTGTTTCAGTGTGCAACTGCAACCTCCACGCGAGAAAGTGCAGATTCAACATGGAGCTGTACAAGTTGTCGGGCCGTGTCAGCGGAGGCGTTTGTCTGCAGTGCCGGCATTTTACGGCAGGAAGGCACTGTCATTACTGCCGCGAAGGTTACTACAGAGATCCGGCGAGACCGATCACGCATCGCAAGGCCTGCAAACGTAAGTGCCCCCGCGGCCCGACAATTACATGTAAATCCAGCAAAGGACACCTCGGCGACGCGCGCGCGGCAATTACGCTCGCGTCGAGTAACCCCACACGCGATTATCCGTGGCACGGTTAATTACAGAAGTGCCACGGAGGTGAACTTTTGCTATCGTCTCGCGCGCGAAATTGGTAAGCGACGATAATGGCGTGTAGGATTTCTAATTCTTCACGCGTCTCAATGTACGCGCGCTAATAATGTTGAAGCCGGGCTAATTAGACGATCCTGCAGGTCATATACACAGCTTTCTCTATAACGCGCGTAACGATTCGCTTTCGAAATCACGATTTCCGCGAGAGAGATTCTGCGAATCGAGAATTCTCGAGTATCTCCTTCGCGAGTAGGAAAATGCAGATAAGAGAGAGAGAGAATTCTGCAAGACTGACGTACTTTAATAAGAGTGTTTCAACACGCGGATATATATACACCGTGCATAAATATTTTTCTACGTGCGTATTTTTTTTACTGCTGCATTTTTTAACCGAGAATTTTTCCCAAACGGTGCACAGAAAAAAAAAAAAAAACAGTTTTACTTGAAATATTTAAAAATTTAGCTAGATATAAATCCGAAAATAACTTTGTCGGAACTATGAAATAAAATATGCAGGGCGAAACAATTGGTTGCTGTTGTAAAATGTAAAAATTGTTTACAGCATTGTCCATTATCCTTGAATTTCCTACGTATTACAATTATTCCGACAGTCCAACGAAATTATTTCTAGATCTGTATCTACTTAAATTTTTCGATATTTCACCACGACTATTCTTTCCGCGTGACTACGTACGGCTTTCTGCATTTTCAACATTCACCGCCGTATTCAGAGACGCGTTATGTGAATCTGATCGGAACGCTTATTGTGAATAAGCGACTGATCGAGAGTGCGGTGAAGGGAGCGAACTAAGAAACGACACGGCGACTTCTCCAATCGAGCCGGCGCATCTTCCCAGCCGCGCTACGCTGTCGAGAGAGACTTGGACGCTATTACCATTCGTCTCAGTCCCTCCGTGGTACTGTTACAAAGTGGTTACCAGCTGAGCAACCCCCTAATCTCGGTGCATTCAATTTATGTACGTTTGTCTAGGCTCATAGACCGCCGCGGGGATAACGATCTCCCGGTGTGAGAAAGCGCGCGTCGGTGCGTCGTAAATGCATCGGCGCGCGGTCTACGTGAGCGAGCGTCTGCACAGTGCATCCCGTATCGTCCGTAACTGTACGGCGGAGCCGTTGTCCGTTGTCGATTTACCGTGTAAGAATATTAGGCTCATTGTACCGTGATAAATCAGAAATTCCCGCGAAATATGGGCACAAATGTCAGATCTTTAAACGAGAAGATGCAAATCTGAGAGCTCCGCGAAAAATAGCTCCCCTTTTTTCCCTATGCAATCTTAAAATGCATTTGTTATCATGATTTTTTTAATACGTTTTCTTTTGATGCAACTTCCACGCGGCGGTAGACATTAGGTCTGTTTTTTTTTATTTCTGCACAGAAATATTCTAGACCGCTAGAACTTTCTTCCTTGCGTTTGCCAAATGTCATATATTATATCTATTTGACTTTAAGTGCCAAAAGTGTATACTAGTTCAGCTATAGAAAAAGAGCGGATGCAGACTTATTGCGTATCATCCTTGCGTATCAATGTAGACGGAAAGTATTGGGTATCAAAATTGTTATAATGATTTGCAAAGGCATCGTGTCATATCATTGGATTGATACACAATGACGCGATACACGGATGCACTACAAGTCCACATACGGTCTTTATGGACCATCCATCGTATCGTTTGAGTGCATGAGTATTTAGCAATGCGTTTTTTTTTTTTTTTCTACAACCGCGAGAATTTTCGCGAGATTCTGCCGTAGGTACTCGCACTTGACAGACGGGTTTTGCGCGATTAACTATGTATGTCACTGGACACGCACATATCCTCTAACAAGGACTACATGTCGTGTTGAATTGTAAGGTTAATTAACTTTTTACGGTCTAGAATATTTTTAATGTTACACGACATTCATGCTCGCTGCGAAGACCAGTTGTCAAAAGAGACATCCACGTATAAACGTGTAATACAAATTTTACTCGAGACATGCCATTCAAAGGTGTCAGATATAATCTCATTTATCAGTAAATACTATGTTTCATAAATATTTTGTAACGTCTCCGAGTTATGAACAAGAGATGACAACGGAAAAATCATTAAAAAAAAATCGCATGTTAATGCGATACGTGTAATCCACTTTGAAACACGTTTTACTGTCAAGAATTGAACATCTTTGAGATATCATTATATAAAACACTCGATCTATCAAGAAATAAGAGTAATGTGAAAACAGAAATGTGAAAAATTTATTTGATAAATTTATATTTATGACCCAGCAATATATGAGGCGCTTACCGCAAAAGTGCTTAAAATTCGGTTTCATAAATTATTAACTCATGAAATAAATTATTAACAGTTAAGCTACTTTTACGCGGCAAGCGCCGTGTATATTAAATTTATAAGCAAGCACAATGATTAACGGGCTTAGCAGCCAAAATATTAACTGCTGAGTTAGCGATTCATAGAGACAACGATATAGCGCACATATGGTCTACCTCGTGTTCTATCGCAGGGCTTCTGGTTCCAATACATAAAACCTAAGTGTCGCACCGAGAGAGCCTGCGCGTGCTCTTGCCGCCGAGATAACGAACGGTATTCTGTATTCTCGTTAGCAATCATGGCAGCCGTTAGAGATAACAACGAGACGCGACATTCACCGCGGGCGCACACCGAGCGTGAAAAGAAGATTCGAGCTTGTCTTAGGACGGCATAAGTTTCATAAATTAATCCTCAGAACGAGGGGATTCCATCAGTGTTGGATCACGTGGAAAGACGGGAGAGTATAATTTCATTTTAATACATAATTTAAGTTTGAGCTTTAACCGCGCTCGAAACTTCAGAGATGATTGCCCCTCCTCCTCTCTCTTCGTAACGATGATAAATTTAGGAATTAGTTGGGTGACAGAATGGTCCGCTTTCGCTCCGTTGGGTATAACGAGTAAGTGTATAATGAAGTTGTAGGAAACTTCATTTTAAAACAGTTCACCTACGTACAATATTATAATCACGTTTTATAAAAATCATAACAACGGTATTGTACACAATAAATTTCAATCGTTGCGGAAAATAAAATTCCAGTGTCTGTTTAATCTAGAATTCTATTTTTTCAGAGTAAGCGAATTGAAAAGGAAATATAAGTCGAGTTTCATGATAGTAAAGTTATGATCTTATAATTTCGAGGTTTTATCTTTGACTGGTGTATAATTTAAGATCCCTGATGTAGTCAGTGGCTTTTTCAGAAAACTAGCTGTATCTAATTCTTAGGTTTTCAAGGTAGGGATAGAGTGAAATTACGACGTTATTACATGGTGATTAATATGGCGCGGTGAAGATAAGATCTTTCTAAGGGAAAAGCGACTCTGATTGAATAATTAGCCACGCCCACTGGATTAATTTCAATTTAACGTCGTGTTAAATAGCGAGTGGTCATATTTGCATGTCATACCACCTGCCGACTTATTTAGATAGCAATAGCTCAATATTATCGTTCTCGAGGAAAAAGTATCCTCGCAACATTAAGTAATTAAGTCCAGTTAACGCTGCATGTTAATTAAGATCGCTTGCAGAAAGAGAAACTCGCATGCATGAACGAGATAATATATTCCAAAGTACACATTATTTGCAGGATAATGAACGTAAGCTTATCAGTATCACTATATACAATTGAATAACCTCGAGATACTCTACTGCCACAGATGTTCACGGAATTCCATGCAATTCGAAATTCTATTCACGTCGAAAATAGAGAGCAATAATCTCCGTTGAGCGCGCTGCTGAAAGCATCAACGATAACGACGACCACGATAACGACGATGACGCTGCTCATTTTATAAGATATGCCTTATAAGATATCCGTTTGTGCGCTTCTCTCTCGGCCGCTATCTTCCATTATTACAAGCCCGAACGCGCGACGAAAATGCAGATTTCTGCAATTTCTCATCTTTCTACGCCGCGTCTCGCAACGTCCCGTCGTTGCACCGAACGCACGCTTCCTCCATGACATGCACTAGCATTTTCACGGTTAGTGAACTCTAGATTGGTCCTGCCGTACGATCCTGCCCTCTCATCTTCCCGTCGTGCTTACCCACGACAAACCACCCCCTCAATCTCGTGCTCGACATTTCCGCGGGAAAATACGACCCCCGGTGTCGACTGTGACGTACCCGTCAGGTCAGAATAGCGTTGTTCGTTTCGAGATTTTCACGGTGACGAATAAGAGTTCCCTCGACATTCTCCGTATCTCCGTTTTCACTCCTTTTTCGCTTTACTTGTCTGCAGTGACTACTACTTACTCTGACCGTATAAAGTTCCTTTGCTTTGACTGGTCCCGAGGGATGAAGTCAGCATTTTGCTAAAAGCTGTTTTACACGTGACGTGGCGAGACTATCGTTTGTTGAGAAATTCTGTATATCTTTTGTGTTAGCGTATAATACGATGTTGCGGATAATGCGACTTTATAAATCTAATAACTCACATATTTTAATAAATGAGTTTTAATTGATTTTAATAAATCTATTTGAATTTTTCAGACTGTATTTATAGACTTTAATATTTAGCTTCAGTTTTTATTAGTTTATTTAATTCTATCCTCGTTGATTTATTTACCATATGAATTGATGTAAATCAAAGGATCAAATACGTAAAGCGTATTCCTAAAAAAATTACTAAAAACTTATGTTACTTATTAAGTTCTATAGTCTTATATCGTCATGGCTCAAAGAATATTAACAATAATGATTTATGTGTTCACATTAATTCTTTTTATCATTATTGTTACTATTTGAATATTAAAGTGTGCTTTTTAAAGATTATATTATTTCAACATTTATTTACTTTATGATAAATAATTTCAAAAG